TACCTCACAACTTAACGGTGTCCATGGATTCTGAATTAATAAAAGATGATCCTGATGTCATTTCTGAAATGGATGTTAGACCATATCAATACCATCCGATTTTACATCTTGAAAGACAATCTTCCAGTGAAGATGAGAAGAAGAATCAAGCGAAACGGAGGCACCGCTTGATATCAAAATAATTTTAAAGATAGACCATATGATTTATCAGGAATATTATTCATCAGCAAAACGTAATACAGTCCAACCAGCACACCCACCCCTATAAATAAATGACCAGTCCCTCAGAAAATATGCTTTTGAAATGTGATTGCAGTTCCTTTTGTGTCAAATGCGTGACTGCAGGGTGTCTGGGATTATAAAAAAATTATTATGCTTCAGATGGGGGAAAATAGAAATTATCTGAAATTAATGACACTGGAATTACATTGTTGAAAAAAATTAGGATCCTAGTTTTTATTAATAATGTATCAAGTTACCATACAAGATCCCACCATGGTCGAGCAGAGATAATATAAGCGACGCAGATAAGTTATTCCCCCCAAAACTGATGAACTATATTATGCTAAGTCAGGACAATGTCTATTTCCCTAGTTTTTCCCTTAGGATGACATCTTGTCAGCCAATGAGAATACAGAATAACTTTCACGGCACACACGTCTGACAAATAGCGAGTCTGATGCCGACGTGCGTAATTGGACAAAATAGAAAACAACGAATGTAACAAGTACTTCATGATTTGCTGTTGTATTCAGCAATTTTCTGGTAGTATATACGTATGTATATCAATAAACTGATATTCGGAAGTATTGCGTTTGTATAATTTCAGGTTGGGGAATGCGATTTCTCAAAATATAGCCTAAGGAGCATACTTTTGGTCTAAGTTCATATTTGGTATTTTGAAATTAACTTCACACCAATTCTTTTGGAATATACCCTAGAATCATGGTAGAGTCTAAATACACTGTGTACAAACTTTATATGATGCAGATGTCATGTTTTAATGCCATAAATGTGGGAATCTTTTGATTTTTGGCAGGCATTTTGGATTTTTGGGAATGAATTATTAAGCAAATCATGTTAATACATATTTTATGTGAATCCTTGCCGCCAAAAACCCCAGTTTCAAAACTTAAATCATTCAAATGTGTCATCTGATATATCATAAATTATTAATATTTGGCGGCCATATTGGAGTTATGCAATTTTAACAAATTTCCCACGCTTGGATTCCTTAGGACTTTTGGTTTGGTGTTCTAGGGACCTCATGCACTGTGGTGAAAACATTTCTGTTACAATTTGTTCCAAGTTGACTGCCAAATTGGCCTAGAATGCCTGTACTATAAAAGGACACCTGCCTTAAAAGGAAATCAATGGTTTTAATGGTCAGCTTCCCTCAGCACAAACTTGGCCAAGTTTACAGACTTCGACTTTCACCAACCACATTCCAACCTCTCCAACACAAGGTCCATTAATTAACATGCACTGAAGCTTTTCATAATCCACGTCTGGATTATATGTTTTACATGGGAAGGCTCAATTTGGATTTGTCAGTAGCTGACTCCAGCTTACACTTGACTCCAAAAGCATCAAAATATTGTTACTTCAACACATTACATTACTGTTTACATTAGAAACCATTGCATTTTGTATACATGCAGTGTGTGGAACAGAACGGTAATCCAACGGACTCCTTCACCAGGATAAAGTCTTTCTTAAATGTGAAACTGAGGGCTTTCCACTGGCAATTGCCAAAGTGTGATTCTTAAAGAAAATATTTCCATGAAATGTCAATTTTGCAATGAATTTACAAAGACTGTCCAACACCTTGTCAGTGGATGCTCTTCCTTGGCACAAACAGCATATCTTAAACGACATGATGGCATGGCTTGCTGCTTCTACTATTGTTTTCGCCATGCCTGTGGCTTTGACTCCGAGGTCCATCCATGGTACGACCCTGAACATGTCCAGGGTGTCTGAAAGGAAAATGATGCTTTTAAACTTTTTGGGAATAGGCCCATTTACAGCCTCAGAAGAATTCCAGCCAACAAACCTGATGTTGTCCTTTTTGATAAAGCCAATGAATTTATTTATATCATTGAATTTTCTGTCCCTTTTGATGTGATTGGCAAGATGCATAAAAGGCATGCTAAATATGGCAAGATTCAGGAAAAGCATGCTAAATATGCAGAGCTCGCATTTGAAATGTCTCGCTTGCATCCCAAGTACACTGTCGTCAGGCTCCCCATGTTCTCAGTGCCCTTGGTTTGGTACCTCTTGATCTCTTGGCTCGGATCGAGAGAGTGTCTGGGTTCTCCACTGGGAGCACAGCCCTTCTGACTCTCTGGGTAATGCATAAGGCTGCAGTGTTTAGAAGTCTAGATATTCTGCAGAGAGTTCTTGGTGGGTTCGACTAGGCAGCGTTTCCTGGGAGAAGTCCCATTCGCTGTCTGGGCTATGTTTAGAGGGGACAAGGGTCCTGAGCTGATGATGAGCCTTACTAGCCTTATTGTGCCAGGATCACCTGAACCCTCTCTGATGCATACTATTATTAATCTGTAAAACATAATAATAATGATAAGTGCAATGAATTTACTGAGACTGTCAAACACATTGTCAGTGGAAGCCCTTCCTTGGCACAAACATCATATCTTAAATGACCGGATGGCATGGCTCATTGCCTCTATTATTGCTGCCTCCATGCCTATGGCTTTGACTCCGAGGTCCATCCATGGTACGACCCTAGACATATACAGCTTAAGAAGAGCTTGTGCCAACAAACCAGAGTTTGTCGTTTTTGATACAGCCAATGAGTTTATTTATGTTATATGAATTTTCTGTCCCTTTTGACAGCATTTGAAATGTCTTGCTTGCATCCCAAGTACATTGTCGTCCGACTCCCCATTGTTCTTGGTTTGGTACCTCCTGATCTCTTGGCACATGTGAGGAGCACAACCCTCTGACACTCTGGGTAGTGCAGAAGGCTGCAGTTTAAGGGAGTCTCCATATTCTTCAGAAAGTTCATGGTGTGTTCGACAAGGCAGCGTTTCCTGGGAGAAGTACAATTCACTGTCTGGGCTGCATGGAGAGGGAGCTGATGATGATCCTTACCAGCCTGACTGTGCCAGGACCACTCGATCTCTCTCTGATGCATTTTTTTTATCGTGATCTGCAAAACATAATTATAATTATAAAGATTCAGGGAAAACATGGCAAATATGTGGAACTTGACTTTGAAATTGTTTGTTAGCTTTTGTCAAGATCCCTATTGTGCTCGGTGCCCTTGGTTTGTTTCAGAGTGTGCCCTGCCCGCTACAGAGGCCATAGCAATGTCTATTTCCCATGTCACCATGCCTTTTATGGGATAGGGGCGGTGGGGAAGCCTAATGGTTATGCGTCCACTCATCACGGCAAAGCCCATATCTGGTGTCTCCTACCATGGTATTGCTGGAATATTGCTAAAAGCAGCGTAAAACTATACTCACTCACTCACACACATTTTATTGGATGCATCACAATCCCTTGAATCACCTTCGTTGGAATGGACACTAAGATGGAGCTTTTTAGATAAGCTGATCCTTATTTAGTGAGCCCATATGAGATGTCTCTACTAAAGTGGAACGGGGAACAGGTTCCAGGTTTCAGTGGAGCTGCTTAAATTGCAAATGATGCAACTGCATGACACTTAAAGGCACAGGCAGTATATTCAGGCCAAACCTGACTTTCGCAATTCTATTCACAGGCAGAAGTAGATCTTCAAGAATGTGGAATGGAAGGATTCGGCCAGATTCTTCTAAACAATGACTGTCAAAAGCAGTCATATGACCTGGGAACTTCCATCGACAGTTATAATGATTCACAAATAAGGGTATAAAGTGAGATGGGATAAGGGTAAAATTTGACATAGAATATTTATGATGATTATCTTACTTCACACGATGGATTCCCGCCCAACCACCCCTACCACACATTTTATGGGTATTTTGGCTCCAAGACGAGAATAACTACAGCTGGCGGTCACATAATCTACGATGAGCATAAGCTTCCTGAGAAGACCTATGTTAGTATCTTTAACATGGATGTGTCGGGGCAAGCATTTCAGAGAGGCTGAAAACTTCTTGGTCGTTTCCACTCCACTGTAGAAATAGGAAGAGAAAGGACTTCTTGTGAGATGGGATAAGTATCATAACTGTTTAATCTATGGTTTAAATTGTCAAGCTGGTTAATTGCAAGGTTTCAGTCTCCCCGACAGCATAACATTTTAAGACTACATCAATATCATTGGATCTACACACTCAAGTGTGAACAGGACTATCCAGTTATATTGGTTTTCAGATAACCAAGTTTTGATGGAATTAACAAAGACATGGTCCATGGATTCTGGACCATAATACTTTATTTATTCCATGGGAAGGCTTTTCCACGTCCGGCAAGGCTGAGGGAGTCACTGATAGTCAATCAGTTTTTTGTTGTGCCTTACTGACCCTGTTAATTTTGACTCAATAAAACTAGCGACATTTTAGAGCTTTCCCTTTGGGAAGACAACTCATCAGCGGACACAAAGCCGTGCCAGCACACACTGCTCTTGTGTTGTGCATCTTCAAAATCACAGTAATGACCAGAGATTTCCACATGGGGCACACAGCTCACAGATAGGCAGATATTCTAATCCTACTTGAGTACTTCATGAAAGGGAATGTATCCTATGAAGGGTTTATTGCTGATTATTTGTTGCATTGTGTGTAACAAAGCTGTTGAATGGAGTTACCACTGGTGCGAATGTGACAGCCATCAATTCTGTACTTGTGGCAACCAGATCTCATTAGACTTAGTCAACATCAAGACAAGTGCACAATTTTGCACTTCTTCAGGCATACAGGTTCAACTTCACCCCAAATTCAACACCGTGAACTTGAGGGCAATTTCAAATGACTTTTAAATCATGTTTGCCAATTTGAAAAAATGGAATGCTAAAATTATATGTTAATTTGTTGTTACAGACGTGTCAGCTCAAGTTGCAAGGTTTGGAAGAACAGTACAACGGCCTTCAAAGCAAGTCAAAGGACTTGGAATCTCATATGAATAAACTGAGAGAGATCAAGGTGAGTCCCCCCTTCAAACCAGTGGCAGAGATAGAATTGTGTTCTGATTTTGTGAAAGCGTTATGTATTTAAGATTTGGAACATCAAATTGTTGACATAAAGTAAACTCTTAAAGCAGCCATTCTGTGTCGAAGCAGCCCTGTCACAAAAAACAATTTGGTGCAAGCATAATTATTACGTTATAGAGCTCAACATATATGTTCTGTTTTGGAAATAATTCAGATTCTAAACTTGAATTGACCTTTGCACATCAACCACAATGTAAACAGTTACTTCTTTTGGGTGGTGGTGGTGCAGCCTAATTGTTAAAGTATCCGCTTGTCACGCTGATGATTGGGGTTTGATTCCCCACATGGGTACAATGTGTGAAGCCTATTTCTGGTGTCCCCCACCATGATATCGCTCGAATATTGCTGAAAGCACCGTAAAACTACACTCACTCACTCACTACTTGTGATAATATAAGGGGCGGAGATCGATTGTCACGCCAAGATCCATTTTGGACCTAAGGCTCCTGAATTAAAAGTCTTTTTCACGATAGTTGTATTTATATATTTTTAACATGATTTGATTTCACATTTTCACTGTATATCTCTTTTAAAGGAGAAAACTAGAAAATTGCATTAAATGACTGGGTGAAAGATAAAGTCATCAGAAGCAAGTACCCCAATTTTCAATGCAAAAATATTTTTATTTATATTTTAGTCACAAAAACAGTTTTTGTTATCTCAGCTTCGGCCATTATGCATATTCCGCTGACAACTCACATGACCTTTTCATTCGTGACATCATATGTGACTAAAGTTAGCCATATTGCCTGAGACCAAGCACTATAGTAACGTAAACTGCCTTTTTTCTGTCGTTTTTGTAAATGGTAAGATGGTGTATTGTGTTGCCTGGGAATGCAAGGCGTCATCAAACAATGGGAAGAGCCACAATTTCCTCCGTTTTCCAAGTGAAAAGACAGATTTAGCAGGCAAAAGGTTTGGATTCACAGATGTAAATAGACTTCCTAATGATGTCACAGGATTCGCTGTTTTGCTATACGCTAGCTTTACAAGTTGCAAAATGGCATAAAATAAAATCTGCATGGCGTCCTAAATGTGCACCTATCTGACAAAAGTACAATCTTTATAAACAATAACAGAAATACTTCACAGAATTATTAACAGAGCTTCACAGAATTCAGCTCAGCCACACGTCCCAATACATATGTTAGTAGGATCCAAATGCAGAGCGACCTTCCAACGCCTCTCCCCACTTGGTTGTGATGGCTGTCATTAGTGCTGATCGGTCATTTACGTCTGCTCCACTTATTTTTGAGGCGGAATTATTCTTATTGTTTATCATCTAATGGAGGGTGTTATCGGTGCAATAAAGCAATCTGATAAACTCGGTATCCAAATCTGATAACTATGCAAATTACGTCACAACTTTCACAAAACTCCATAATAATAATAATAATCCTGGAAATTTATATAGCCATGCCATGCCAATCCTAAAACGTTTAACATTTCATTGATGACGTCGTCGCGAGTTTACATTGTTTGTAAACAAACATGGCTGCCTTCATTCTCAAAATTGGTGATTCGGTAAGAATTGACGACAGAGGGTCTGGAGTCGTTACTGCAGTAATAGCTTTGGAAAACATGAAACAGAGTAATTCGTTTAAACTGAAGGTACGGATTATGAGGCACAAGTGACGGGCAATCGTCTAAGAAAGGTACCAACCAAGTATCCCGGGCTGTTAGATGTTTGTGGGATATCGTCTCTTCAAACACAGAAGTCCATCAGTGTGTCCACAACACTTTATTCGGCAGCTAAATATGCAATTACATGATAGTGCAGCAACGGCCAGGCAGCATCACAGAGGCGATCGTCAGCCCACCTGCCTAGTCGCTGTCCGAGGGTCAAGTCCCGTTACATAAAGAATTCATTGTCTATATACTACTGACTGTCAGGCTGCCCCGTATCGTATTACGATACATGTATGGTCAACCTGCAGTATCCAGCATGCTCCTCATCCACAATGTTAAACTTCTGTGGCCAACCGGCCATACTCTAAGGTTCATTAGGGTTAATTACACGCAGGCAGCTGATCTGTACATGGCTGTGCTGATGGTCATGATAATAAGCTGCTGATATTTCATGTATATTGTCAGCACTGTGATTTAGATTTAGATTTAACTTTAACTTAACTCAGAGAATATTGCCTAACTTCTCTTAGTTTTTGCGAACATAAACACCCAGTTAAGTCTTTTTTTTTCTTTTGTGCTGTCAAATCTGCCATGTCAACAAAGGGGAGATAACTCTTGATGTAAGGTTCATTCTTAAGAGTTGCCTCCCATATTGAGTACCTTACTACATAATGTAACACCTATTTTTATCCCCCTGGCATGTAATGCAGGGAATATAGTCAACGCCTCGTCCGTCAGTCCGTCCGTAATCATTTTGTTTCCAGAGCATAACTCAAAAACTGTTCAATATTTTTCAAGAAAAATTGGTAGATATATCAAACAGAACCTAAGGTGGTGCCTTTTGCTATTTACAGATTTTTGGCATTTTTATTTTTTCCGGTTTCCATGGAAACGATTCAGACTTAGTCTTAAAGGGAGGGTGGGCTTTGTTTCCGGAGCATAACTCAAAAACCATTCTATATTTTGTGAACATAGAGATTTTTCTGGGTTACATCTTCTTTTTATTAAAATAAAAAGAAGAATAAAAAGAATAAAAATATTCTTTTTATTCTTTTTATTCTTTTTATTCTTTTTATTCTCCTTTTGAGACTAAGTCTGAATCGTTTTCATGGAAACCAGGAAAATAATAAATCACAAAAGTCTGTAAATAGCAAAAGGCACCTCTTTAGGTACTTAGAATTTAAAAATAAAAAATTAATAGAATTTCTTTTTATATTGCCTAACTTCTCTTAGTTTTTGCGAACATAAACACCCAGTTAAGTCTTTTTTTTTCTTTTGTGCTGTCAAATCTGCCATGTCAACAAAGGGGAGATAACTCTTGATTTATAATTTTAATAATAAAAATAATGTGTTATATAGAATAAAAATATTCTTTTTATTCTTTTTATTCTTTTTATTCTCCTTTTGAGACTAAGTATTTACAGATTTTTGTCATTTGTATTTTTCTTGGTTTCCATGGAAACGTTTTAGACATAGTCTCAAAAGGGAGGGGTGGGCTTTGTTTCTAAATAAATTTTTAAAGACTTAACTGGGTGTTTATGTTCGCAAAAACTAAGAGAAGTTAGGCAATATAAAAATAAATTCTATTAATTTTTAATTTTTAAATTCTAAGTACCTAAAGTGGTGCCTTTTGCTATTTACAGACTTTTGTGATTTATAAAAATAAAAAGAATAAAAAGAAGATGTAACCCAGAAAAATCTCTATGTTCATCAAATATCATCTTCTAAAATGCCAATCAAGCATCTCATTCTATATTTTGCTGCCAAACTTTGTAGATATATCAAACAGTACCTAAAGTGGTGCCTTTTGCTATTTACAGACTTTTGTGATTTATTATTTTCCTGGTTTCCATGAAAACGATTCAGACTTAGTCTCAAAAGGAGGGGTGGGCTTTGTTTCCGGAAAACAACTCGAAAACTGATCAATATCTTTCTTCAAGACTTGGTAGATATATCAAACATAAGCTAAAGTGGTGCCTTTTGCTATTTACAGATTTTTGTCATTTGTATTTTTCTTGGTTTCCATGGAAACGTTTTAGACATAGTCTCAAAAGGGAGGGGTGGGCTTTGTTTCCAGAGCACAACTTGAAAACCATTCAATATCTTTCAACAGAACTTGGCAGATATAATTATGAGACAGATCTTGAAGTGGTGCCTTTTGCTATTTGCAGGTTTTTGTCATTTATATTTTTCTTGGTTTCCATGGAAACGTTTCGGACTTAGTCCCAAAAAGTCAAGTTGGACTTTAAGTAACTGTCAGTTGATTTGTTCTATCAAATTTATGGGGGCCGGGGGGATTTGTCATCTTCTGATGACACTTGTAAAATTCTGTCATCAGTATTAGGAAACAAAGATTTTCTCAATAATTTCTGGAAAATCTGTATATGCACATGTGTCTTTTGTGCCCAAGTTTGGAACTACATGTTTGAAATCAGAATGCCCTAGCCCTACAACTCAAAAATAATTATTTTATTTATTATTCTTTTTTTGTTGTGGTGGATGAAGTCATGTTTGTGTTTTACTATTATGTGGTACTGGTGTACTGCATGTGGCAGCACCATAAGAGAGTTTGATGAAATATATGATAATCCTTCTTTCTTTTGCAGAAAGATGTAAATAAGAGAAAAGACCAAAAGAAGCGCCTGCAGTATCAGATTAATGCCAAAAAAGAAAGGTACTGAGCACATCCATCTGTCAGCTTTATTTTTCTTCACAGTGTTGAGCTATACATCTTTCTGTCATGGTCAGAGTTGAACTAATCACTGTATGTTGTGTTTAGGAACCTTTTATTTGTTTGTCTTCATGCTATTCTCAACTCTTTCTCCTAATATGATCAGCTTCATGACAATTGAGGTGACCTTATACTTTCTTGTCTTTTGTCAATGTGTTCTTTGATATGTTTAGGTTTGATTTTGGTGTGAGTTGGATTGAATTTCCTCCACGACTTCTTGAGGAATACAACTGAAAGTGGGTTTCTCGGTTCATGACCATCTGCACTGTGTAACTGGTTGATATTTTTTTTTTTTATGTCTAAACTATGTGACTAAAGCTGTTTCAGCTACAAACAATCAAGGAGTATTTAAGTGAACAGACAGATTTCTGTAGGAATCTAGGCAGAATGCTTTACATTACATGGACAAGATGATAAAATGACTTTAAAAATGCCTTGAATGACTTTAAAAATGCCACAATTTCTAATAACCACAAGATCTGTAACAACTGTATGGCTTTAGTTCTATCTATTGTATCTGAGGGCTAGAAATCATCGTCAAAAACGGAGCCAGAACACGTTTTTGACAGGCGAGCGGGTCTTGCAACTACAGCTGGGGTGGCGGGGGGTCATGTACCTTTTAAGAAGTTCCGGAGAAGAAATAGTTCCCTCTGTAAAAGGCTGTATTTCAGTTGGTCTTGGGTCTACGGTCAAAACAATTAGTGTTCTGGAATCATCAAGACATCATCTATCATACTGGCACTTTTTGTGCAGAATTTGCACATTTTGGGAGCAAACTACCTGTCCAGGCAAAATTGTTGGGAATTCGATTGTGCATCTGTACAAGAGATTTGGAAGTGTTGGAACAATTAGTTCTTGAGATATTTGCTGTCAAACTTTGAAATTTTGGAATTAATTTTGAATTACAGTAGAACACGGATATAACGAACTCCAAGGGACCAAGAAATTTAGTTTCGCTATATCCGTTGTTTGTTATTCACATTTGACCGCCATCTTGGATTGTAGAGATGTAGACATTCACAGACATTACCTATATCATGTTGATAAATATGAAGTTTATTTTTATAATAAAATTGAAATAATACAACTACAACATAAATAAATTTATTTTTTAATGAAAATGCAAGCTTACATTTATAATGTCCAGATAAACCACGAAAGAAGCAAAAACTGTATCGATTTTTTATCCATTTGTGACATGTCATAACATGCCCGTGCCTTTTTCTTTTATATTTTCATTTTTATGTAATCAGGCTTTCCGTTCGTTAACATGACACAACAACGGGAAATAACTCCGTTTTCGAAGCTTCGTATGAATAACATGCGAGGCGAATCGTGTGGTGTCTGGTATCGTTCGACAGCTCTGGAACATCAACAACATCACTGTACCCTCACCGAGAGTATTTTCACAGTTGTAAAAAGCGATTTTATTGGATAAAGATTGGTTTCTAATGACGCTTTTTTGCCACAGTCTGCCATAAGGATCGTGATTGGTCAAAATCAGACACGTGACCTAAGGCAGCCAATCATACTACGGCAATGGATACCGTCCTCGTCAACGAAAACGGTTGTTGAATGGGTTAAACACGATATGTTTGTTTTGTTAATTAATTAATGACCATCAATAAATGTTGATTCAACACCAACAAGATTGATGTATACTGTATCGCTAAGTGGCTGAGCTGACACTGAGTGAGTTCGCTAATCACGTCGTTAATTGGGTCTTGGGGGTAGTAAATCAGTTTGCTATAACCGTTAATTCGCTACTCACGAGTTCGTTATTCACGTATAATTTTAATGATATTATAAAGGACTGTTGACGGGACTTTTAAATATGTTCGCTATATCCGTTTGTACGCTATATCCGTGTTCGCTATAACCATGTTCTACTGTATCTCCCCTTTGCTATTGGTCCTAGAGCCTAGAGATTTTTAAGGGGAATATCTACACCTCGGTGCGCATCTGTGTGATTTTTTGTAAGCGATTCAGAACATAGGTTTAGGAGTTATGTTTGATACAAACATCGGCGGAATAATAAATAATAAATTTTTAACCTTATCCTATCACGTCGTCATATGAGCGAAATATTCTCAAGAACGACGTTAAACCCAATTTCACCTCACCTCACCCCACTTATCCTATCTCATGGTATGCACCTTCTTCTTCTTCTACGACCATGTGTGGAAACGTGCTGTCAGCTAAGTTGAATCAAATCTTCCTGGCCTCTGACCCCTTCCCGACCTCTGACCCCCTCCCGATATCAACACCTGTCAATCATCTCCTTAAGCATGCAGCTCGCTCAGATGATCACATGACCACCTCTGCCTGTCATTTTTCTTTCTTGTCCCTACCTTGTGTGGACGTGTGTTATCGAGAAGAGAGTTTGATTGTGTTTCTACAATGGGAAAATCTAATCGTTATGCCACTAATAAACGCAAATTTTGCGACAGATGCAAAAGTAACTTTTCTGCGGCAGATCCACATAACCTATGTGTGGACTGCTTAGGCCGCTATGAATGGTCTAGACGCTGCACTTTGTGTGCTAATCTTGACGACGATGCTTTCTCAGAATATCGCCGGGTAGCATGCAGACGGAAGTCTGATAGAGATTGTAAGAATACATCTGAAGGCCCATCGGCATCTAAATGTCCCAAGTTAGACCGGCGTTTAAAATCTGCTACACGACCCTCGAAGTCCAAGTCTCCCAATGAAGATTTCCTTGGTGAGACGTCTGATTCCTACCTCAGTGAGAATCTATGTCAACTCTTCGTCCGCATTCTTCGAGTCCTATTACACTTGAAGATTCATCACCACCAAGGGTTGTTGTGTTTTCTACCTCTGCTATTCAACCCCGGCCGTCTATGGTGGTGAACATCCCTCAGCAATCGTACATTTCGCAGGGAGTTACAACGCATGCGGCGATCAATGTGATTCATAACATTACTTCACAAGCGACGATTACGGGCAGTGCGCCGCTTGCTACCAGTTCGCCGTTTACTACTGAAGAGATGCTTACATCAGGACAATCACTGATAGGCAGAGCGCCGCTTGTTACTGATCCCACGTGTTTACTCAGAGCGCCGCTTGCTTCCAGTTCGGCGCTTACTCCTGGTTCTGCGTTTATCTCTGGGGTTCCTAGTTCGGCGTTTTCGTCTGGTTCGGCGTTTCCTCCTGGTTCAACACTTCCTTCTGGTATTCCTGGTTCGGCCCTTCTTCCAGGTTCGGTGCTTCCTCCTGGTTCGGCGCTTCCTACCGGTGTGGCTGGTTTGGCTCTTTCTCCAGGTGTTTCCGGTTTGGCGATTCCTCCCGGTGTCCCTGGTTTGGCGCTCTCAGTTCGGCGTTTCTTCCTAGAACTCCCGGATCGACGCTTACTCATGCTGACTTTGGTTCGGTGCTTCCTCCTGGTTCGACGCTCCCTCCCAGTGTTCCTGGTTCGGCGCTTCCTACCGGTGTCCCTGGTTTGGCGCTCCCAGTTCGGCGTTTCTTCCTAGAACTCCCGGATAGACGCTTACTCATGCTGACTTTGGTTCGGCGCTTGCTCCCGGTTCAGCGCCTCATCATGCTGCCTATAGTTCAGCGCTACTCCCAACCTACCTGGTTCGACGCTTACTCGCAATATGTCTGGATCAACGTTTACTCCCGGGGTTCCAGGTTCGACGCTTACTTACAGTATGACCGATTCAACGCTTGCTCCCGGGTTTCCTGGTTCAGCGCTTACTTATGGTGTACCTGGTTTGGTGCTTCCTCAGAGTGCAATGACTACAGTATTTACTCATGGTTCAACGTTTCCTCAGAGTTCAGTGCTTACGGCCTAGGTGACGGGTTCGGGGTTAGGTACACGCAGTTCAACTTTGGAGTTCAACGCACAGGACTCTACGTCTTCAGCGTTATCTCAAGGGGGCGTGTCTCTATCGACTGGACATTTATCTTCTCGGCGTGAGGTGCCTCGTTATTCCTCAGGGTCTACTACGGGTTCATCTGTCCCTTCTACAACGGTACCGGTATCTGAAGGGGCCACTTCTCAGCCGATGGACTTTGATGCATTTGTGTTGGCGGTAGCGTCAGCAAATACAACAACAGGCGCCAGTATCTTCCCCTGTTACTCAGGCATCAAGACTTGCGACTACTCCAGTTCTACCTGTAGAAGAGATTCAGTGTTCAACGACGCCGTCTATTTCATCGGAGGGTACGCCCTCCTCGGATGTTAGCGTGGATGCTGTTGACACATCTCAATGCGCAGACTTCAATTCATTGGAGCAGTGTTCGACACAGAGGTCAACAAACTGTTTGTCCCGAGGGATCATTTCTGCAAGATACAGAAGTTGGTTTCCCTCGCACTAGCGCAACCAAGGACGCTTCGTCAATGGCAGGAGCTCCTGGGCCTATTGACGTCGGGTCAGGCATTGACCCTCAGGGGTCAACTACGACTTCGTCCCATACAGCTATTTCTAGCATCTTACATCAGAATCGGAGATCCACGGGCTCTGATTCCTCTACCGTTGGAGCTCCATCCTCATCTTCGGTGGTGGATGGAAGAATTGAACGTTTGCGACGGAGTTTGTTTAGAGCTGTTTGTTCCGTCTCACCACCTAGATGTGGATGCGTCTCAACACTGGTGGGGAGCTCATCTTCTCAATCTACAAGTGGCAGGGCTGTGGTCTATTGTAGATCGCGCCTGTCACATCAACATTCTGGAGTTCAGGGCAGTGATTCTGGCAATCAGTCACTGGCTGGATGTCCTACGAGCTACTTCCCTCATGATCAGATCGGACAACACAGCAGTGGTTTGGCATATCAACAGAATGGGATCAATGGGGTCTCCACAGCTTCTACAGTGGACTCAACAGTTCCTCAATCTGGTGGACAATCTCAACATTGTGGTTCGAGCCAACCACATTCCGGGGGTGAAGAATGTCATCGCAGATGCCCTGTCCAGACCGAGT